AAATATTTTTCTTCGTTTATCACATTCAAATTATTTACAACAATGTGAGTTAATGTTTTTCATAGATTTTTGTTAATATTATGAATAAATTAATATTTATCCAATAATATACCATATGCTTATAAATTTTATTTTAAATTTATAAACAACTTAATTAGCATAGTCTTACAACCCTCAACCATATGTAGTCCAAGCAGCACTATAAAATTAATTAAAGTACATAACAGCATGGACTGCGATATGCGTTCAAAATGTCGATGTTCATGTGTCCTGCAGTTCACACGATGACGCACAGTTTGCTGCGTTCTTCATCGACCCATGAGCCGAGTGATCCACCGCTTAGAGTTTTATATATTTGTTTTTTCAATTTGTCAAGTATGTTTTTATTGAAAGAAATTAAAAATACACCATTTTACTGGCATATATCAATTCCTTCAATAAATGTTTTTTTTATACCTAAAAAGAATGCTGCGAAATGTCTTAGTTTTATATAAACAATATATACCAATTTTATGATCGATATAAATATAATTACTAATTATTTTAATATATATTGCAATTTATATAAAACATTAACCTGTATACCAGGTACAACATTATATATTTTAGGTTGTTGCATTAACCAATGTATGCCCATAACTGAGATGAACAATACATATGCGCAACGCGTGTATATTATGGTCCATATACACACAATAATTTATTTATATATTATAATAAAAAAATTTATTTTATATTATATAGTGGTTTTTTTTTTTTTTATATATGGAATTTTTAGCCTTAATATTTTTTTTTTTTTTCCCAAAAAAAAAAAAAAAAACACCCATTTTTTAAAAAAAGAAAAACCCAAAAACCAAAAAAAAAAAAAAACCAAATTTTTTTTTATTAAAAATTTGGCCGGGGCCCCCACAAAAAAAAAAAAAACCCCCCCAAAACCCAAAAAAACCAAAAAACCCTAAAATAAAAAAAAAAAAAATTTAAATTTTTTAATAATTTTTAAAGTGGTTGGAATTTCGATATTTGGTTTTTTCCAAATTTTAGGTTTTGAAAAGGCCTAATTAGAAATCTAAAAGAAATTTCGATATCCCCCATAATTTGGGGGCTACACTTAAAATTAACTTTTCGACTTAAAAAATCTAAACCGCTGCTCCGATCAAGATGATTTTTCGCTCAATAGTTATTCTATGGCCCAAATGCTTAAGTTTAATTTTTCAAGTTTTTAACATTTTTTAAAGTATTTTTAACGAATTTATTTAGATTTTCTAAGTTATTGCGTTGCATTTTGCGTGAGGCTGTCGAGAGAGCGAAACCCAGAGAGCGGATGCCAAGAGAGCGACGGCCGAGAGAGCAACAGCCAAGAAAACTTATGAGGGGGAGGGATAGTGCTGCAGGGAAAGGGGAGGGGAAAGAGGCAATTTAAGTTAAATTTGTTTTGGATTTTAAAAACTTAAACTGCTGCTCCGATCAATAGGATTTTCGATCAATAGTCAGTCCTGTAGATTAAATGCTTAGGTTTTATTTTTCATTTTGTAGCAGAAGTAAGAGCCTTATTTAATTTCCACCATGGAAGAAAATAGAAAATTACTACAAATTCTGTAAGCAAAGCCAAAATGTTTCCAAGTTAAATATTAATCTTAAGACTCGAACTTTTGACCAAATACGTATGTACATATGTATATTTGGATATGTTTTGATTTGCTTATATGTACAATACATGTACATACATACAATGTGTGTCTGTTTCTATTCGAAAGTAGATAATGTGCTTAAATACAAATAAAATGATTTATTATACCCGTTTATCGATCAAATGTGGAATCTGAAAATAATACGTTACTTTGCTGTTTTTGTATTGGATGCCAATCTTTTACTGTGTGTACAAAGGTTTTCGTTTCATTCAAAACAAGAAATTTGAAAACAACAAATTCCAATTTACAAACAAGTATACATATTTGTGCGCAAATTAAAATTGCATTGATAACATTGTAACTGATAAAAAGTATACTAGCTCACGACTTTTACTTGGATCACTTTCATTTATATGTAGCTCTGCCAGTATCCTTCTGATTCTCTCTCTTGAAGGATCTTCTACAAAGGTTGTTTACACAAAGGTTTTCAAAAAACGCCCAAATAAGAAATAAGAAAGTCCTGACAACCCAATTTCCTAACTCTAAACTAATATTAAGCGAACGAGCAAAAAGTCGTATACAATACAATTTTACAAAGCGTTGGGGCTGAGATGGGTGAAATATTTTTTTTGGAGGGACAGGTAAAACCTTCTTGACAAACTTATTGTTGGCAAAAGTTCGAAGTTCAAAAAAAATGGCCCTAGCTGTAGTATCTTCCGGTATAGCTGCTACCCTGCTCAATGGAGGTCGAACTGCTCATTCTACATTTAAACTTCCTTTGGATTTTTTGTAAATATATGCTTTATTTATTGAATCTTCTCTATATGAGACTAACAATAAGTATATCAAATCTTAAGAATATAACTTAACTTACAGTCATGTAGACTGAATTTAGACTAACGGGCCCTAATATTTATTGCTGGGCTGGTAGATCGTTACGATGCAGACGAGTTCTGTTCGAAACCCGTCTTAGGTTCCTGGCGAGATTATTTGGGTGCAGTGTAAGCTTGTTATGGTAGGCCGCTTTCTGCTTTGCTATTTCATCTTTGACCGGTGGTATGCCCAGATCCCTGTGGATGTTTTCATTCCGAACATACCATGGTGCCCCAGTGATTGTTCGCAGGATTTTTGATTGTGAGCGCTGTATGATGTCAACGTTGCTGTTGCTCGCGTTCCCCCAGAGCTGGGAGCCGTAGGTCCAAATGGGCTTGAGGGTGGAGTTGTAGAGAAGAACTTTAAAGTCCAGACACAGGGGTGATCGAGAATTTATAATCCAGTGTAGGCTGCTAGCTTTAAGTCTGAGATGTACTTTCTTGCATTCAATGTGCCTCCGCCAGGTTAGGCGTCTGTCGAGGTGGACGCCGAGATATGTTACATCGCTGGCTTGGGGAATCTGCGTATCATTCAAAGTTAGCGGCGGGCACGATTGTCTGTTAAGGGTAAACGTTATATGTTTACACTTTTGTTCATTAATTTTGATTCGCCAGTCTGATAGCCACTTTTCAACTACCACCAAATGATCAGCCAGTTGAGCTGTTGCTCTAGTTGGGCATCTCGAGCGGCTCAGGATTGCGGTGTCGTCAGCAAATGTGGACGTAGTCAGCCTCTCGTTCGTAGGGATGTCTGCTGTGTATAGGATAAACAGGGTAGGGCCCAGGGCGCTACCTTGTGGGACTCCGGCTTCAATGTTATACTCGTTGGATGTCGTTGTATTGCATCTAACCTCAAAGACTCTGTGGTAGAGGTAAGACTTAAGTAACTTATGAGTGTTTTCTGGCAGTAATGTTATGATTTTATGCATAAGGCCTTCAAGCCACACTCGGTCGAATGCCTGAGAGACGTCGAGGAATATCGCACTACAATATTCCCGATGATCGAAGGCTGTACGAATTTCTGAAGTTATCCGGTTGACTTGTTTGATGGTTCCGTGGCCTTCACGAAACCCGAATTGATGCGCCGGGATTAAGTTTTGTTCTCTTAAATATGGTGTAATGCGCGTGAGCAGGCATTTTTCCAGTAATTTGGACAGGCACGATAGTAAGCTTATTGGCCGATGAGGGAATTGTATGGTCTTTGCCAGGCTTCGGTATCATTATAACCACGGACTTTTTCCATTTTTTGGGGTAGTAGCCAAGTTTTGCGATCCCGTTAAATAGCTTGCATATAACATCCACTGCGCAGTTTGGAAGTTCAATTATCATTTTTGGGGTTATTAGGTCGGCCCCTGGAGCCTTTTTCGGTTTTATTTGCTTCCTAATGACGTTAGCAATTTCAGGTGTTTGAAACAAAATCGGGTTAATTGCAATTTCAGAGCTAAACGGCGGTAGTTGAAGAGAGTTTGTGGCGGCGTTCGGCTGAAATACATTTCGTAGGTGTAAAGCAAATGTTTCGGCTCTGTCTTCGTCACTGCGGGCCCAAGTACCCGAGGAGTTTCTAATCGGAGTGACTGATTCTATTGGGGAGCTTAAATTTGGGTGAGCTCTCCACAAAGGATGCTTTGTACTGGTCGGCGACAGTTTCTCGATGTACCGGCGCTGCGCAAGCTCCTCTTCTTGCTTGAATGTTTTGGTGAGTCTGCGGGTGGCATCATTATAGAGTTGCTTCGAATGGGGCGATCTGCAGGATTGCCAAACGCGTCGTAGACATCGTTTTTCCCGAACCAGTTGTTCGATTTGCAGATTAGTTTTGTATTGGTTGCTACGCACGATTGTCTCTTCTGGTGTTGAGATTTTGGCTGCTGCCACGAGTACTGACTCCAGGGCATCAGCACAGAAGTCGATGTCTTTTTCTATGTTTAACTGTGGTGTTAGTTCAATGTGGGAACTTACGTACTTTTTGTACTTTAGCCAGTTAGTTCTAGTCGAGGTCAGCCTGAAGGGGTGCTCGATTACTTTCGGGCTTTGAAGGAGAGTTATTAAAACAGGCGAGTGGTCCGATGATAAGTCCGATAGCGATTTGGCGCTGACTAAATTTCTTGGGATGTTCTTGGTCACAGCGAAGTCAATTAAGTCCGGGAGTTTTCCGGGGTCAGCTGGCCAATATGTGGGGCTGCCAGGGGAGACATAGTCGAGTTTGTTGCTCAAATTTATGATTGCTTTATACAGTTGTCTTCCTTTGGGCGTCACTAGTCTTGATCCCCAGTGCGTGTGCTTGGCGTTGTAGTCTCCTCCTGCTATAAAGCGATCTCCGAGTGAATTGTAGAAGTCCAAGAATTGCTCTTCAGTTATTGTAAAACGCGGTGGGCAATAGACAGCGGCTATAGTGATACTGCCGTTGCCTGCTTGTAGTTTTATAGATGTAGCCTGCAAATAATTTGTTGCAAACCTCTGGTGAAAGTGGTGCTTAATGCGTTCCCTGATTAGGATTCCAGTTCCTCCGTGAGCCTTACCGTCCGGATGATCTGTGCAGTATGAAGTATAACCTCTTATTTGGAAGTTGTATTTACTTGTGAGATGCGTTTCTGCCAGCAGCATTACATCTATTTGGTTTTCATTGAGGAATTGAGTTATTTCAAGTTTGTGCCGTGAAACGCCATTGGCATTCCACATGGATATTCGAAGACAAGACATCGATTATTTAGATTGTTGGGATGTGAGCAAATTTATTAAAATGTTTTGATTTTGCATAAGGTTTGTCATTGTTGTTTTCATGAAGGACATAAATTCCATCATACCCTGTTGTAAAGTCAGCATCATGGTTTCCATGCTGTTTGGTATTTGTCCTATTGCTTGCTGAGGTGTTATTATATTTTGCTCAGAGCATTGAGCTTGTGGGAATGAAGATCTGGCTGCTTTCGCAAAGAAAACATTAGGTGTGGTTTGGGATTGCACGTACGCATTTCGTGCATTCTGGGAGCGTGCTTGTTTTGCTTGTTGAAACTGACTCTTCAGTTCTTTATAAACCGGGCAGCCTCTGTAGTTTGCGGTATGGTTATCTCCACAGTTAGCGCATTTCTTTGTCTTTGGGTCTCCTTTGCTTGCAGGGCAAGGTTCGGATTTGTGGAAGCCACCACAAGCTACGCAGACTGAACGAAGCCCGCAGTTGTTTCTGGTGTGTCCATACTCTTGGCAGTTTGTGCATTGCAGCGGGCCATTCCGCTTATGCGGTTCTTCAACAGTAATCCTTCTGTGCAACAGGTATTGCAGTTTATAGATCGGGTGCACTTCATTTTTCTTCAAGGCTCTGCTTTCAGGCTCCAGTTCGACCTTAAAGAGTGGTTGCGGCTTTTTATTTTTGTTGATAATATTAATAATATTTTTGGAGAAGAATCCTTTTTCTTTCAGTGCCTCTTTTACCTCATTGGTGGATACGTCGGGCTCTATGCCCTTTAGCACTACTTGCAAGCCCTTGCTACTCTTGAGCTGGTACGTGTAGTAGGGTTTCCTAGCCTCGTCTAGGTAATTTGTTACAGCTCTGAATTGATCTTCAGTTTTAGCTTGAAGCTTTGTTTCATGAATATTCCCTTTAACAAGGGGAGTAACATAAAAGTTGTCATTCCCGACCAGCGCAACAATTTTCTTTACTAGGGTATTTGAATTCTGTTCCCTTATGTAAATTGAAGGGGGCTTTGGTTTCTTTTGAACAGCCTGTCCAGATTCGGATTGATTATTATCAATTTCCGACAATAGGGCGAATCTGTTGTTACTAGATGCCCCTGGTTGTTCGCTGCCTTTATTAGGGCAATTTTGTTTTGGTTTATTTCCAACCATTTTATTTTGCGGGCTTAGCTTCCGTTTGATTTGGATGTAACGGTCCATGCCAGTCTGTATAGCCGGACCCACTTGTTGTTGTTTGATATTGCCGATATTGGCACTCGTACTTACACTTGGCTTTGTAGTTTTATTCGGCGCTGCAGAAGTTGCAAACGCATTCGAAATCGCGTTTTTGTTAACGGCGACCGTTGATGTTGTTGTTGCAGTGGCTGCGGTTGCAGAAATTAACGAGGTCGCAGTGCTCGTGGCTGGTGAGCTGTTAGTCGAAGCTGGAGGTGGGGTACTACACTGCAAGCTCCATGAAGTGGGAGTTGGTGTGAGTAGGGCGGGAGAACAAGACCGTGCTCTCGCACTGTCAATGGTCAGTAGGGCTGAGTTGCTCTTTGAAGAAGTTGTTTCTACTTCTGTATCACGGGTTGAGAAATAAGAAATATAACTGTTTCTCTGGCCTACGGAGCTTCTACGCTCATTTTTTGAATCGCCGCTCATTGAGCTATCACTCGTGGCACTTCTTAGTTTTTATACTAACTTTGCACTAGTTTTTTTCATAGCACTAATTATTATTTACTGTTTTTAGCAATAAGATTGCCTTTATTACACCACTCTAGAATTTTTAGTTATTGTTTTTCACTTTTGAGCGGTTTTTTTCCGGAGCTCGCGCAAAACACGTCTGCACTCTCCGGCTGTTGTTTGTTCTTGTAATATGGCTGCGGTGTTTAAAGATTGTAAGTTAATTGTTTGGGATGAGTGCACAATGTCACATAAAGGTGGGCTTGAAGCCATAAATAGAACCCTGCAAGATATTAATGAGAATACTATGTTGATGGGTGGTATTACAGTCCTGCTAGCTGGAGACTATCGCCAAACCCTTCCTGTTGTGCCAAGAGGTACAAGAGCTGACGAAATAAAGGCCTGTTTAAAATCTTTATTTTTATGGCCACAGATAAAAAAACTAGCGGTCACGAAAAATATGCGAGTGCTCTTAAAAGGAGACAGTTCTGCAGGAATTTTTGCCGAAACTCTTTTAAAAATTGGGAATGGCGTCCATCCAACAGTTGATGGAAAAATAGTTATAACATCACGCTTAGGAAATGTAGTCAAAAACGTTCAAGACCTTACATCCAAAATATTTCCTGACATTTCCAACATATCATGTAAAAGCTTAGATTGGCTATCTGAGCGCGCCATTTTGACAACGAAAAATGAAAGAGCAACCACTATTAATAATTTATTGCTAAACTCATTTGATGGTTTAGAAGTCTCCTATAAATCGGTCGACTCTGTTCCTGATGCTGATAATGCTGTTCATTACCCTGTTGAAATTTTAAATTCCTTGAATCCTCCAGGAATTCCTCAGCATAATCTGTCTCTTAGGATTGGAGCACCCGTAATGTTATTGCGAAATTTAAGTCCCCCAAAGTTATGCAATGGGACACGATTGCAGATAAAAGGTCTTCATAAGAATGTAATCGAAGCAACAGTATTTACGGGGTGCACGAAGGGGGAAACAGTGTTTATACCCAGGATCCCATTAATACCATCCAGTCTGCCGTTTCAGTTTAAAAGGCTACAATTCCCTCTAAAAGTTTGCTTTGCAATAACTATAAATAAATCGCAGGGGCAGAGTTTGAAGCTGGCTGGACTAGATCTTAGAGAAGATTGCTTCTCTCACGGACAATTTTATGTCGCATGCTCTAGAGTTAGCTCTGCCAGTAGCCTTATTATTCTCGCTCCTGAAGGATCTTCTAAAAATTTTGTTTACACAGAGGTTTTAAAGTAATCATATTAATTAACATTATTAAACCTAGAAAGTTTCAGTGGAATAGGTCTAATTGGAGATACCACATTAAAAAAAACGAGCCAATTTCTCTACCTCAGGGGTGGTGTGGAATTGGGAAAGTCTTGACAACCGTACTCAAAACTAATTTTAAGCGAACGAAGTCGCGTCGGGTACAGCTAGTTTTTATACCCGTTACTCGTAGAGTAAAAGGGTATATTGTATTCGTGCAAAAGTATGTAACAGGTAGAAGGAAGCGTTTCCGACCCTATAAAGTATATATATTCTTGTTCAGGATCACTAGCCGAGTCGATCTAGCCATGTCCGTCTCTCCGTCTGGCCGTCTGTCTGTCTGTCCGTCTGTCTGTCCGTATGAACGCTGAGATCTCGGAAACTATAAAAGCTAGAAGATTGGCATTTTGCATGTAGATTTTAGGAGTTCTTACGCAGCGCAAGTTTGTTTCAAAATGGTGCCACGCCCCCTCTGACGCCCACAAGCTACAAGATGTGGCCACAGTTTTGATGCTATTATGAAAATTTTAGTTGATATGTATTTGTTTCGTCAATACCTATCGAATGGCCTAATAAAAGTTTGACACGCCCACTCTAACGCCCAAAAACCCATTAAACGCTTAAGCCTGGCTAGCGCCTACATTTCCGCCTTTCATGGCCCGTGGTACCAATGTCTTGGGATACAATAGCGCCATCTAACGGATGACTTTGGAACAGCTGGCCAAGGTGCTCAACAGAGTCAACGTTAATTCTCGATAAAGATTTCTATTAAAGGAAATTGCGAGGGTTTTCACATAACAAATTTTAACATAAAAATCGGGAGCTAATTCGAGCGGCGAAAAACATACAAGAAGTCATATTTATATTAAGTTGTTTAGCTGAGTAACGGGTATCTAATAGTCGAGGCACTCGACTATAGCGGTTTCTCTTGTTATATATATTTTTATATATATTATTTTGGTCTTATTATATGCTTTACATATATTATTTATTTGGTCTTTATTTTATATTCGGCCTTCTTTCGAATATATTTTTTTTTCTTATTTGTGGCAATTTTTGATTTTGTATTATTAAAATATATATTTGATATATTTATAATAAATATATGTTAACGGTAAAAATATTATACAATAATTATCCTTCCGCAGGTTCACCTACGGAAACCTTGTTACGACTTTTACTTCCTCTAAATAATCAAGTTCGGTCAACTTTTGCGAAACAACCGTAACACACAAGGCGTCACAGTGATCACGTCCGGAGACCTCACTAAATAATTCAATCGGTAGTAGCGACGGGCGGTGTGTACAAAGGGCAGGGACGTAATCAATGCGAGTTAATGACTCGCACTTACTGGGAATTCCAAGTTCATGTGAACAGTTTCAGTTCACAATCCCAAGCATGAAAGTGGTTCAGCGGTTTACCCGGACCTCTCGGTCTAGGAAATACACGTTGATACTTTCATTGTAGCGCGCGTGCAGCCCAGGACATCTAAGGGCATCACAGACCTGTTATTGCTCAATCTCATTATTGCTAGACGCAATTTGTCCATTTAAGAAGCTAGTGTCCTTATAATGGGACAAACCAACAGGTACGGCTCCACTTATATAAACACATTCAAACACAATAAACATTTTACTGCCACCATGAATGAAGGCTATATAAGCTTCAACACCATAATCCTGAAGATATCTATTTAATATATTTGAGTCTCGTTCGTTATCGGAATTAACCAGACAAATCACTCCACGAACTAAGAACGGCCATGCACCACCACCCATAGATTCGAGAAAGAGCTATCAATCTGTCTTACACACTTATGTTCGGACCTGGTAAGTTTTCCCGTGTTGAGTCAAATTAAGCCGCAGGCTCCACTCCTGGTGGT